GAAATGTCAGGCGAAACGTCGGCACCCCAGCCAACGACGCGGCGTCTCCCGGATAGCCGAGAATTCAGGTGTATACATTTACCTCTTTTCAGAATCTTACTTTCTTTCCAGAATTTTACTTATGGAAATGTTTTTTACAAACACATTTAAATGAACTACGTAACGTGTTTAAGAAACTAATTTACTACAGATGTGCGAATAAGATTTATCCACTCTTTCGTAACCACATTTTACCAATAAGATTTCTTGTTGAAACTTCCGTTTTCTGATTCCCGATTACTTGTTACGAAGTAATCGCCAGAAAGTAAAAACAGGAGAGCAAATGAACCGGTAAGCGGATCACATTGTGCGATTGCGAAATTACATTGTAGACCTAAATTCTTTTGTGCGCCTTTACTTTGTTTCTTATACCTGGTATTGGAAAAACTAGAGGTGTCATGGTAAATATGATATTTTTCTCGTGATGTAAGGTGAATGTTTGCACAGACGTACCATTTGAAAACAAGAGTTTACCTTCGAGAGCACTGAAAAAAGCAACAATAATATTTGCACGTGTTTTAATATTATTTAATTATTTAATAAACGTAACTTCATTCTTAATAATTATCTCGAATAAAATTAGGAAATATATTTTATCGTAGAATTATAGTTAGAAATTTAAAAAATATATTCCCTTAAAATTGATTTGTTGCACTTACAGTAACTAAGATTTCTACTACCAGTAATGTTTTGTTCGATGCATATATCTCGATATATTTTGATGAGATTTGCAAACTTTCTTTACATCGTAATACAAAGTATTAAACATTTTAATTAGGCTTAATGTTTGTGTTTTCTCTATACAGCGGCCTGACATCAGAATTCTGGAAATTCGGTCGGAGGTGCATCACCGCTACGCTCGCACTGAAGTGTACAGCGTGGTGGTCAACCCGGCCGAAGAGTCGCTGGAGGTGATTTTCAAGACAGTGCTGCCAGATGAAGCATTCGTCTCGAGTTTCGCAATGTGAGTTTTTGTCAGTGCAACCTCTAGGTGCTTTTTGAATCAGCGCCTGCTATATCTTCTATCTTGATGATCTCCTTATTCGTTTTGGAATAGTCACTTCCAATTGACGACCCAATTGACTGCCCCATCGCTTAGAGGTTGGTTACTAACCTGTTGGTGCCACCAGTGGCAAAGTCGAGGTATGTTGCATTATTGTGTCCCTTATTTCCCGACTTCGAAATTTTTGAACGCTTACTCTCCAGTTTTATTCGAATGGCCTTAAAACATGTCTACACAAAATTTTGTAGAGAGCATTCTAACCCGTGCCAACTTGAGCGCGAACTTGCATGACGGACAAGTCTAGACCTACCTCCAACCGCTGAGTCAGATGTGGGATTGACAGTTCATGAATTTTAATCGATCTAGTCACACGTATTTACAGGTCGCTAATTTAACATAATATCATATATTAGTATCTTATGCAGAGCCGATAAATGTGTGTTTTAATAGGAGATAGTATTATTTATTAATATAAAACACCAAATAACTGGACACAATTTACCATCAAATAACCAAGTGCTTGAAGTTTTATTTTAAAACATACTGGAAGTACAATTAACAGTTAGTGCAAGTGCTGAACTTGTGATTCGTGAGTGTATGATATTTTGGAAGAAAACTAGAATTCTGACAAAAGCTAATCAGCATTGTCCGCAAAAACTTGTTTTACATTAATTCGGAGGGGAGAAAATTACAAAATCACGCAAGCAAATGTGAAGCTAATTATTGAAGAGGAGATTAGAAATAATTTGAATAATCTATTTGATATTACACATCCGAATGATTTACAAATGTTTATTTTGAAAGAAGACAGGATTTTTGTACTTCGGTCGAGAGGACCACGACGTAAAAGCTATCTTGCAGGAGTAGACCGAAATCTCGCGAATAAAGAAGAAAAGGCGAGAGAAAGAGCATTACAAGAAGAGCGAATAAATGAAACAACAGAGTGAAGCGTCAAGTGAATTCAGATGAAACCGATGTTAGTAAATTTTTAGGACAGATTTTTGAGAGTATATCAATACAGAATGCTGCAAGTTGTGGCACCAAACATTTCATTGTTCCTAAAACTAACGGTTTGGAAAACGTGTTAGCTGAGTATAATAATTCTGTATTCATCCTTCAGGCGATTGAAGCACTTGGTCCTAATACCCGAAGAACTCTCTATTAATAAATCTCCTATTTTTCGAATCAGGCACAAGAGAAGGGAACATTATAAACAATTAAAACTGAATTTAAGAGTAAATTATCTGAAATTCTTAATGTTCGTTGGGATGGTAAACTATTGACTGCATTAAATATGAGAGACCACCACTTTTACTTTTTACATTTGGAGACAAAGCTCATCGGGTTTTCAAAACTACGGAATACTTGTAGTAAAGAGCACAGTAACGATGTTTGGAATGTGTTAACTCGTCGAAGCCAATATACAAATTCTTTATTGTGATAGAACTGCATCATCCTTGAATAAAATTTGGATAGGGAATTGTTGTTCTTTCCATGCCGTCATCACATATACAAACCTATTTTGGAACGCGAGTTTGAATGTAAAATACGTCAAGTGATCCTTAAAAATGTCTATTGATTGCAACTGTTTATGTCAAACCGTAACTTTGGTACAGTGAAGCTGTAAAAGCTACTTCTTGAGATATCGGCTTTTTAAAAGTTCCAAAATTACATGAAAAGATAGATTACACAATTTCAAAAGCAGCCCTAAAAATTACTGAATGTGGTATTTATTAGAAGAATTGTCTGTCGTATCACACTTTGATAATGAAGACTTACGAATAAAAATTAAATTGGAAGACACATGGAAGAGTGATACGTTCGTTTTTGTGAATGGAGTGCAACTTGGTGGGCACAATTATATCCCGATGACCGTTCTTTAATTATTAATTTGTTAATTTACGACACATCTTATAACTGAATTTAATCTTCATTTCATTGAAAACAATAGCCGACTTTGTGTCAACCAAAAGCAGATATGTTCTCTTGCCTGAAGATGCTATTGACCTCCTTGCCTTGGATACTAGTTTTATTCTTGAATGTTCTTCGGCATGGACAAGCAACTATTCATACTCAGAAGCTCAAAGATTATATATAAAGTTAAAAGCTGTGAATAACAGTGCTGAAAGGGCTGTAAAATTTTCATAAACCACTGACAAGATGAAGAGCGAAATCAATTTGTGTTATGTTGTTAAAGATCATGGTTCATTGGTTCACTGTACCTATACACACGTTGCAAGAAAGAAACATTGAAAAAAATGTACCCACAACAAAAGTAAAAAACCATAACGCAGTCTAAAGAGTGAAAAAGAATTAAATCGTAATATAAAATTGTATATTAATCATGTAGCAGTAGTTTTCCACGGACTTAACACTGCAAAACCAATTACCCCAACATTCAATTTTCGCGTTCAAGTCGGCACAGGTTAATATCGGTTTATTGAGATAAAAATTAATTTTCAGTTAATTTGACCCAATGGAAAATATTTAGGAGGTGAGCCTAAAGACTAGAAAAACTGTTTTGCAATATAAGGGTCACCCTAATGATACATTAGTATATTGAGCTACGCAGCCATCTTAAAACTGAAGCATCAAATGGGCGTTGTAATATTGGTGAACTCAGTGCTGCAAAATTTATTTCTGTCTTGTTTGGGCGAGGTATATCCATGGCATTATATACCTAGTTGTCGATCAATGCCATGTCGTAGTCACAGATGCCGAATTTATAGTAGTCCTGCTGCGACCTTCCTCAGGGCGAAAAACGTTTGGACTGAGGTTGCAGCACGACGGCCGAAACCTTAGCATCTGTGCATACGGTGCGGTGCCTCACGGACTGCCAAGGAAGGTACAGACTCCGGCGGAGCGGTTTCACACCTCCAAGGCTCTTTGTGTGCAGAGAACGAGGGCCATAGATCTCTCTAAAGCAAACAGAAGCCAGGCCCTGCCACGGCGGTTCTTATATTTCATGATTAAATACTAAAAAAAGAAAATGGGATTATATTGAAAAAAATAGTACGACTGACACAAAGAGAACTATATTACAGATCGCTAGAAGAATAACTGATTGGCACTTTGAAGGTTTATCTGTTAATAAGGGAGAACGGCGCTCCACCCAGAAATACTTCCGGACGAAAGCACAGAGCGAAGATCAAATTACATTTTTCCCACTGACAACGTTGGCATTTATCAACTGTAAACCATTTCCATACACATTTTGCACGTTGAATGCATAGTGTTTGCAGTCAGAATTTAAGTCAGTATGTTCGCGTTGAGGGCGTCGACGTGTGCCGTAGCACCGTGGGCGGGCGCGTGTACCCGGCGCGCGTCGAGGGCCGCGAGGAGGCGCGCGCAGGTCGAAAAAAAACGAAGAGAATTCCTTTTGGAAAAACTTTTTGGTTGCCCCACAAAAGCGAAATATCTTTCTTCTCCCTGAAGATGGCTAATTTTGGCCTCCTTGCCCTTTGGATAACTAGTTTTTTTATTCTTGAAATGTTTTTCCTTCGGTCAATGGACAAGCAACTATTCCATAGTCAGAAGTAAGATATATATAAAGGTTTAAAAGCTGTTTTGAATAACAGTGATGAAAGGGCTGTAAAATTTTATGAACCACTGACAAAGAATGAAGAGCGAAATCAATTTGTGTTATGTTGATTAAATGATCATGGTTCATTGGTTCACTGTAACCTATACACACGTTGCAAGAAAGAAACATTGAAATAAATGTACCCCAACAAAAGTAAAAAAACATAACGCAGTCTAAAGAGTGAAAAAGAATTAAATCGTAATTAAAATTGTATATTAATCATGTAGTATCTAGTTTTCCCACGGACTTAAACTGCAAAACAATTACCCCAACATTCAATTTTCGCGTTCAAGTCGGCCAAAGGTTAATAATCGGGTTGATTGAGATGAAATTTTAATTTTCAGTTAATTTTGACCAATGGAAATTTTAGGAAGGTGACGCTAAAAAGACTAAAAAACTGTTTTGCATAATAGGGCCTAATGATACATTAGTACATTGCGCTAACGCAGGCCATCTTAAACTGAAGCATCAAATGGGCGTTGTAATATTGTGAACTCTAGTGCTGCAAAATTTATTCTGTCTTGTTGGGCGAGGTATCTCCATGGCATTATATACTAGTTGTCGATCAATGCATGTCGTGTCACAGCATGCCGAAATGTTAATGTAGTCCTCCTGCGAACCTTCCTCAGGGCGAAACGACGTTTGGACGTGAGGTTGCAGCACGGACGGCGAAACACATTAGCATCTGTGGCATAGCGGCGGGTGCCATCACGGACTGCAAGAAGGTACAGACTCCGCGGGCGGTTTCACCATCCGCCGGCTCTTGTGTGCAGAGAACGAGGGACATAGATCTTCTAAAGCACACAGCAAGCAGCCCTGCACGGCGGTTCTTATATTTCTGATTAAATACTAAAGAAAAGAAAATGCGATCATTTGAAAAATAGTACGACTAAACACAGGAACTATATTACAGATCGCTAGAAGAATAACTGATTGGCACTTTGAATGTTTACGTTAATAAGGGAGAACGGGCGGCTCCCCAGAAATACTTCGGACGAAGCACAGAGCGGAAGATCAAATTACATTTTCCACTGCTAAACTGTTGGCATTTATCAACTGTAAACCATTTCCTACACGATTTTGCACGTTGAATGCATAGTGTTGCCAGTCAGAATTCTACAGTCAGTATGTTCGCAGTTGAGGGCGTCGAGTGTGGCGTAGCACCCGTGGGCGGGACGCGTGTAACCGCGGCGCGCGTCGAGGGCCGCGAGGGGCGCCGCGACGGAGTACCAGGAGGCGGTTGCGCGAGGGGCGCACGGGCGGCGCAAGTGCAGCTGAGCGCGCAGCCCACGCCAACCTCTTCACGGTGGCGCTCAACGGTGGCGGCCGCACAAGGCGCCTAACTCACCTAACGAGCAGCTGCTGGCGGCGAGCAAGGCCGCTACCGCCTGCGCCTCCTGCTCGACCCGGGCCGAGGTGAGTCCCGCCCCCGCCCCGCCCGCGCGCCCGCCCGCCCGTCCCGCCCGCCGCGCCCCGCCCCGCCCCGCCACGCCCCGCCACGGCCGCCCCGCCCGCCCGCCCCGCCCGCCCGCCGCTCGCTCCGCCCCGCTCGCCCCGCTTCCGCCCGCCTCGCCCGCTCCGCCCGCCGCCCGCTCCGCACGCTCGCCCCCGCGCCGCTCCCGCGCGCCCGCTCCGCCCGCCGCCCGTCCCGCGCCGCTCCCGCGCGCCTCCCGCGCCGCCCCGCCCCGCACGCAACGCTCGACTCGCCTCGCCTCGCCCTCCCGCGCACGCCGCCCGCTTTTGCCGCTCCATACGCCCAGTCCCGCCCCGCCGCCGTCCACCTCGCCCCAACCCGTCACCCGCCCTTCCGTCGCCCGTCCCCACCCATACAGCCGCCACGTCCTCCCCGTCCGCCCAAGCAGCCCGCCCGCCCTCCGTCCCATCCCATACACTAAACAGCGACTGATCGGCGCAGGTGGTGCCGCGGCTTGCTGGTGGAGGCGCGCAATCCGGGACTCGGCCCTCTGACGCATGGTGCGCGTGCCAAGCTCCAGGCAGCGGACAGCGAAGCGAACGCCGACCGCCGATGAGCCCGACGACCGCTGGCACGGGAGCGAGGCGAGTGCTGAGCGCCAGACTGGTGGAGAGGAGTGCAGGGAGTGACTCTGTTGGTGCAGCGTGAAGCGGTTGGCGCGGGGGAAGCGTTGGTAAGCGGTGGGAGCCAGACGAGGTACGCAGCGCCAGTTGGCGTCAGGCGAAGGCCTACAGGTGATCGCTCGAGGTGAGTCAACTGCACTGCTTCATAAACACCTTTCCTACCTTCTTACCAAGTACGTATACTCGGGTTGGAATTTCTTCCTTTGGTGTGAGGAATAGTACTCTTGCTTTCTGTGTAACAATCATTTTGCGTTTGAACTAACTTCCATTTCGTGCCACCAGGTGCAGTACGATGTGGATGCACAGCACCGCCTCGCAAGTTGCTGGTGGCGACGGAGGGTATTTCGTTTCATTTCTTCTCTCTTCCGATTACGAACTCCGGCCATGGAGCCGAAACATGCGGTTTTTTTGTGCGGATGTAGCGGTTCTATGCAAGGGGCGCAGATAGAGCAGGTCAGAGTAACATCACCATTTACATTTTAAATCAACACTAAAGACTGAAGTTAATTCCATGTCCTTCTGTTTATGCTAGGGATCCATTTCACAACGCGGCGTTCAGAAAACTTTTTCAATCCGTACTTCCGATTTGTATACTCTTTGCTTGTAATAATCTTTTTTTATTAATCTATTTCATTAAACAGTATTGAATATTCTATACACTTTCCAAACATGGAAAGGTCTTATGCCTACTTGAAAATACTGGTAAAGTGAGTTCTTATGTTTCCACAAAAAACCTCTCCAAGAGATTGTTCTACGAGTTACAAGTGTGCTTCTGTTTTCATCTCGCAAGGCGTGATTTCGGTGAGCGGACGGCGATGACAGCGATCCTGTCGGAGCTTCGAGAGAGCGACACTTTTCGCTGCTGACATTTTTAACGGATACGTACGTGTGGGTGCCTGGAGAGGTGTATCGAGCGGCCGAGAGACTTGGCAACTCTGTGGTGGTCGCAGCCCAGAGTGGTCGCCAGGACAGGAAAGCAATACGCAGCTTACAGGATCAAGATATGTAGGTTGGAAAAGAAACTCAGTTTGGTCCGTCAGAAACCACCTGAGCGGGTGAGATACATTTAGAAACAGAATATGAGTTTATTTAATAAGAGAGGTACCAGGTAGATATTTATTTAATCGACTTCTGTTACTTAGTTTTTTAGGATTCACCAATCACTTAAAATTCATAGCGGTTTCATTTAGCGGTAGTATTGTTTGAGAGTAATGTTAATATATACTGGGTGTAATACGTAAATCGACTTACCAGTGTAGTATATCAATAGCACGACGTAGAGATGTTTAATGGTGATGGCGTCGACGCCACGGCTGTGCGGCAGCTACGACCTGTTCGAGACGCGCTGCAAGCGGCGTACACAGCGGTCGCGCCGTGCGCAACAGCGGAGGCAGGTCCGCCAGCCGCTCGTGCTCCTCCTGAAGGACGGCCACCCCACGGCCCGCTCGCAGGCCACGACGAGCTTGCTGCGCGCGTCACGGGGGCCTCCGCCGACCCGGCCTCCTCCGGCGCCGCTCTAACAGCCTGGCTTCGGCCGCGACGCCGACTATTGCCCTGCTGAAGCAGCTGTCGCTGCGCGCAAGGGCTTCGCGCGCAAGATGGTACGAGGCGGCGGAACGCGGCGTGCAGGCTGCGCAACTTTTTACCGGCGCGTGGCGTCCGCCGTGTTTTTTGGCGGACGTGTCCTTCCACTACGCCGAGACAGGTTGAGGCCAGCGCGCTGCGGCCCGGCGACGCCCTGCGGCCGAGCGGAGGCCAGAGGCGGGCGCGTGGTGGGCGCGGTGGAGGCGTCTTCGCTGACGCGGGCGGCGTTCCCGTGCTGCTGGCGGGCGCGGAGGCTGGCCGTGGCGGGCGTGGGCGTGGAGGAGGAAGGCGAGGGCTGCGGGCGACGGTGCGCGGGCCGGCGGGCGGGCGCGCGCCGCTGGAGAGGGCGGCCTGTGCAGCGCTCCTGGAGCAGCCGCAGGCGTGTTCGTGGGGCCTGTGGGCGTACTCACGGTGAGTGGGCGTGGGGCGGCGCGGCGCGGGCGGCGGCGGCGGGGGGCGAGTGGGCGCGCGAGTGGGGCGTGAGCGCGGGGCGGTGTGCGCGTGAGGAGGTGCGGCAGCTGCTGGAAG